TTTGCTTTGCTCTGGTCATGTCAATGCAAATATGTTCACTTGAAATAAAAGAAAAAACGGTTTATATATTTTTTATTGTATGGGTTTTTTATAGCGGCTCACACTCCCCCATAACAGGAGTGCAGTATTAAAAATTTGATTTTTACAAAATTACAAAAATTTTAAAAAAATCAATTTTTCAAAGAGGCCAGGACTAAAACTGGCTCAATTTTAAAGCACAGAGTTGTAAGCACAGAGTTATGCTATTATTTATCCTTTTCGTTTTTTTCGTGTATTATTGCTTTCATTTTGGTGCTATTATTTATCCATGTAACTGTATGATAGATGATTAAACTAAATAAACATTTACAAAAAATCCACTTTCTCTGAAAGCATTCTTTCAAAAATGTTAAAATGTTGGAAATTATCCAAGTGACATTTATAAGTTTAACTTCATATTAACCACATTATAGAGTTCAAAAATTGGGAAAAAATACATGCTATATTATGTTGTTCAGGAATAAAACATGAAATATGACCTCATACAAAGCAATAAAAATAAAAACGTTATTCTGTAAACGTTGTTCTAAAACAAAATAATTCAAAAAAGGCCACAAAGTAATTCAAGAATACATGTGTATCTTGCAAGAGTTGCCACCATGTATGAAATTGTTATAAAAGCTCAATTGTTTTCCCAATCATTAATCAGTATTCTTTTCAAGTAAAAAAAGGGAAAGCAGTATTCGTTTTTTAAAGCACTGTGCATCAAGTGTTTACAGAGCTGAGAACACTGGACCACAGCACTAAACATGCTAGCATAGCATAGCAAAGCAAAGCTAGCATGTTAACTTACCGACAAAAAAGTTTACCTCACGCACCAGTGTCGATAAAATGACTTAACAGCACATAAACGGACGATTAAATATGCAGAAATAATTTGTATTTGTGTGCGGGGAAAAATAATTGACGACATTACCATAAAAGCAACAATGTTGTGGTATCAGTACAGTCAACTCGGAAATAACATTTAACCCGAAAGGACAGCACGCTGTTCAATCGAACGAATGAAATTACGTGCAATAACAGAAAACCATCCTCAGAGTTTAATTCTTACCTTTCGGTTTTTCAAACATTTGTCTTTTCCGGACGAGCCATCCGCTGTACTGTCCACAGAGGTGAAAACGCTATGCCGCAGCAAACGCTACCAGGTTAACTTGACGCCAAAAAGGGTTTATCGAGACAAAAACTAACGCACTAGTGTCCTTGATATGGCCGAACATCAAATAAACTGCTTTATTATGTAGTTTAATTGTAAAAAGTTTGCTTGTGTGAAGTTATCTTTCCCCTTGTGACTACCACACACACTCGACGACGACCAAATGTTTGTTTGAAAATCTAGAGCGACCATTTCCGGTATAATTTAAAATGGCCACGCATGCGCAAACCAGGGAGAGAAAGTGACGTAACTTTACCTTTATTTTTCAAGACATTTTTGGGAAATTATTAGTATAGTATTTCACTGTGACCAAAACTTGCATACCAAAAAAGTATATTTTTTTTCTGCGAAGTTCTGGGACATACAATAGACGACTATTTTCTTACCATTGTCATTTCACCCATTTGAATATCGTTTTCAAGTGTAACTGATTCAAAAAGCACAGTAGCAGTACATTGTTTGACTAATTTGTATTTTAAGAACATTGCCTGCTGGCACCTTAGGTAGTCCATGGTTAATTACGTTTTGGCACGGTCTAAATGTTTAATAAAAGTCATCAGAGAATAAATAAAAACAAACAACCTTTCCCCAATATATAACTTTATTTAAAATATTGTTACAATTTATTACTCTACACAACATTTTCAAATATTTTTCTCATTTTTTTTTCATACGATGGTTAGTAAACCTTTGTGTTTTTAGGATATAAAACTCTCTGTATTGTAGCCGAGTTCAGCATTGGGTGTTAATTTGACGT